TTTATCAATAATAGGATCTAAAACTTTTAGGCTGTGTTTGGTTGCAGTGCAAATTTATTTGCACTAGTACAAATGTATGGGAGTCCAAATGTAAAAGAATGCAAATTCCTGTTCAATTTTGTTTTGAATTTACTTTGTTCTGCTTCATGTCTTAATTTACTTCATTTATACTGCAATCAATCAAAATAATCTAAAATTTGAAACAAAAATAGGTCAGAATTTACACTCAAATAATTTGCACTGACATGGTTTTGCATCCAAAAACAGCCTTAGTGCCTATATCTTGTAATTGTCTTTTGTTTGTTTAGTTTAGTAAGATTGACAGTGATTACATAGACTTGTTTTAGGAGTTGGAGTCCTTATTCGATGCCCATTTGAGTCACACGTAGGTTTATCTTTACTTTAAGCAATTAAAAGTTGATTAATAGTTAGAGAATTAGAGTCAGATCTCTAAGCCCTTATATTGAGTGATTAAAGCTTAGTTTGGAAAGAGTACAAATACAAATTATGTACAGTACAAATACAAGTATTGCATTGTACATATTTGTATTTGTACTGTTTTAGAGTTGATTTGATAAAATAAAGATTATCATTATTAACAGGTTGACACTGACCAATACATTGGACCACCAAAACAGGGAAGCAGCAGTAAAAACAGTTTCTTGGTTGCCCACTTCTTAGAAATGTTTATTTCGTCGATTTTACCGCATTTGCATGTGCTAATGTATTTTATACCCTCTCGTATTTATTGTTTTAAGCGTAATTTGATGGTAAATTAGTTTTAAAAGATAGCATGGAACCATTTTAAATCTTTTAAGTTTTTGTTTCTGTATTCACATTTTTATTTGAAAGAATGAAGCGGCCAAAAAGCATGGTCAAACCACTGACCCATGACCACCAAATTGGTTCCCTGCTATCTGGTTCAAGTTTAACAATATTGAAAAATATGTTTTAGCACATCCAATATTAGAGCAAGAATGGGTCGTGCTTTGGGCCTAATTCATTAAATACAATAAATTTAATTATACACAATATTTTATTTTATGTTATATGACATACAATATATGCTATAATATATATATATATAATACAAAATATTATATGTATTATTTTATAATATATAATATTAAATAAAAAATATATACATGTACATATAAAATGAATGTGTGTTATACAAACAAATTGCAGGCCTAATCTCATATTTGTTCTACAATATTCGTTCTCTCGCTCTCTTTTTTACCACTATATACATTCATAATATCTGTTCCCCTTCCTAAGTTGATTTGATTACTATAGACACTTGAAATCATTCAACAGAGCTAAATGATTAACCGCATTGCAACAGTTTATTAACAACTTATTCTAGATATTTGGTTGAGTGTATGATATATATATATATATATATATCAGAAAATAACTGGCATGTGCATATTCTATATTCATTCCTAAGATGATTTGTTATTATAGTCTCCCTTTGTTTTTATTTCAACTTCTCAAACATCTTCACTTTCACACACATGCACATGTGCACGCATGCAAACACACAACAAAAGTCTAAAATCTTAAATCACTAGGTTTTAATCTTCAACTCTCTATTATTGTAATGTATTCCAAATGAGGTTTTACATTGTAAGCCCTCTAGAAACTAATAATCATGTTGGAAAGAGATTTCATTAGAAACTATTAGCTAGTCATAAGTAATTCCGATAAGAATCTTCTTCTAAAACGTTTTGCACATGCATTCTATGTTGATTCTTATGTACACAATCAAGAAACTAAGATTGGAAAGAAAGTTCAGTTTGCTTCTCACAATAAACCTCCTTCACTTTCGAAAAATAAAAATATAGCTTCCGCTAATCTCCAAATACTAATATTAAGATAAAAGAGAAAAGAATGAATGAAACCTAAGCATTAGAGAGGAGCTTTCATCTTGGGCGTCGGATTGTTCAAAAATAAAGAAACATACAACATTTTCCAATACAAACTCAAGAAAAGTCTATGACAATGGAAGTTTAACGAATTTAATTAATAAATTACTAATTATAGAAATGGGTATGAAGTATGGAGCATTAATAATAGAGCGGTAGGAAAAATATCTCAACTAATTTAAATAAACGAAACCAAGAAACAACTTTGATTTTCTTTCTTCAATGGATAGGTAAAGTTTATTGGAAGATAGATTGTCTCAATCTAATTTAAAATCTTTTTTTATAATTCTTTCTTCAATGTTCATGATAACTATATATATATATATATAATATAAATTAAAGAAAGAAAAAAAAAAGGAAAAAAAGAACTGTGCCTAATGCATCAAAAGCCATGCACTAGGACAAGGCTGTGAAGTTGTGAAACAGAAACGACAATTGAAGGCTTGTTTTTCGCTTTTGAAAAGTACATATACAAGGATTGACTGCTTCTTATTATAATTAGTGAAATTCGTCAAGATACTGTTGATATGCTTTTTATGTTTCATTTTTCATATTGGCTCTTGCTTTTCTTTTATTTTTACTTAAGTTAAATTTTCTTCCTTTGAGCATATTCTTCTAGTTCGTCATTTCGTATATTTCCACTGGACTCTATCGTTTAAGGAGACCGCCATTAGGCATCAAAGATCCACAAGTAGTGAATTGAAGATGTATGCCTCAAGTTTCAACAATATCATACTGTGAATGAATGGTTGTTTTAGGTTGACAAAAGAGATATCTTCTCAGATTCAGCACAAAGACAGTGAACTTATTTCTATGTTTCTCTTCAAATTAACTTGTGTAGATAATAGATATACATTTCTTTATATTTTAGTTAAACGTTAATTACTGCCGTTGATTAATTATTTGGAAAAGTAGCATATATTTTTGAATTCCCAACTAGCTAGTTGCATCTCCTATTCATGGATATGTTCAGTTTCAGGTCATATGCACCCAAAGTTCAAATTATTTCTAAAAGAATATATACCTACGTTAGCGTCCACAGAAACTCACTTAAAGATCTCTAGTAGACATTAATATGGCTAGAACCTAGTCCCCAGATTTGAAAAAAAAAAAATTGCTATCTAACAAGAGATTGAAAATGTTTTGATGAATCATGAATTGGAGAATACAGAGAAGACGCTCATGAGCGTATAGTTTAGAAACACTGACATTGATAATAAAAGATAAAAGTACTCCACACCATCTTCATTCTTGGACATCAGCACTAATTACAATTTTACAAATACAGTGTATTTTTTGTTTCATGGCCTTTGTATTAGACATTTTTCGGTCTTTTACCTTTTATCTGATTCTTATCCTTGAATTTTGTTCCACCGACCAATTAAGCTAACTGTCTTAGAGCAGTTTTAACATTATGTCAATTTCACCCTTTTTGCCCTAATCAAGTCGATTGTGAGTAACAAGGCTAAACACTAATTAAATTGGGTTTCAAAAATATAAAAGGATAACTAAGCTGAAGATTGGAAAGGTATCTCCCAGATGAGGGTATTATGTATAGGATTAGGACGCTTGAATTTCTATAACAAAGTTTGTTAGAAAAGTTAGTAAAATAAGTAAGAGCACATATATATTTCTTCTTTTTTCCCTATTAATATATTCACCTTGAGACTTGAAGGTTTGATGTTAACATCTGGGTAATGTTCATCTTCGGAATCAAAATGAAGAGTTAATCAGTTTTCTTGAGTTGGAAAGCAACATCTCAGCCTTAACCCAAGATTAAATAGAAGAAAGAGGCCTGACTTACTAAAGCATGAGATATTAGCGAAAATAAGTGTTGCAACTTGTAAGGAGAATTTCTATTATTATATAGTAAAACCCCACAAAAGCTAGAGATAACAAGTACGTTAGTACATTCTCCCTCCTGCATCTGTCTAACTTTGAGAGTACACTTCTGCTTTATATGTCACACCCGCTTCAAAAACATTTGGTGAAGGGAAGAAGTGTTGATAACAGCTTCTCCAACACATTTTAGTTTTAATATTAACCCTAATATCAGTTCAGTGACTCAAAAATTGTAGAGAACAACGTTGCAGGTTGCGATCAACACTCCAAAGTTTGAGAAACTCAAAGGAATTAATAAAACACACTGATACTTAAAACCAAAAGTTATTGCTGATGACTGAACTTGCCAACGATGAGAATAAAGAATTAAATCGATAGATCGATCGAGGAGCTAAACATAACTATGCACACTTCTTGTTCAAAACTCGGTGCAGCAAGCATCTGAATGAAAGCTGAGACAAAGACCAATTAAGAAGACAAGTAGGGTTTTATTGGATTAAGAGAAATTTACCGACTTGAAAATTGAAATGTAGGCAACGAATACGAGAGAGAGAGAGAGAGTTTTGAGCTGATTGCACCATAGGTATCTAAAGTACTGAGAAAAGCTTGGCAGAAGGTTTCAAATAAGAGGAAAAGAAACGCCTTGCGTTTCAAATCAGACTAGAATAAATTCTTCTTGCTGTTCCTGTTGGTCGTCGTTTTTCTCTTCTTTCTATTCCTTCTTGCGAGTACAAATTACAAACTATAAACTAATAAACTAGAGTAGAAAAAAAAAAATTGAAGAAAACCCTAGAAAGGAGGGCAACTTGAGAATCAAAAGATCTCTAGCTAAAATCGTATATGTGTACTAATAAGTAAAGAAAATAAAACCGGTTGGTAAAGATCTGAACCAGTACTGCTGAGCAAAAATAAAAATAAAAATAAAAAATAAATTACAAAAAGAGAAAAGAAGAATAAAATGGAAAAAAGAAAAAAGATATTTTAACATAGAAAGCCTGAGATCAAGGTACAATTGCGGGAAAAACTTATACCTGCATAGTCTGTATTATTTCTTATCTCGGTTCACGAGTAATTTGTAATTTGTTTGATACAAATATATAAAAATAAAAACTATAATCTATGAATAAAACTTGAAAGGTACAATTTTCTTAACGAAGCGATTAAATATCAGCAACTAAACAATGAATTTCGTGAAGAGTTTGAGAGCAGAAGCCAGAAGATAAGGCGTACCTGGAGCTAGCGAATTCATAAAGCTTTCCTCTCGGAGAGAAGACGATAAGCGCGACTTCAGCATCGCAGAGAACCGAAAGCTCAAACGCCTTCTTCAGCAGCCCATTTCGACGCTTGGAGAAGGTTACTTGCCTGCTGGTAGCGTTCTCTATCCGCTTCATCTGGGTCTTCCCCCTCACCATCTTGGCACCTTTGGAAATGCAGGAAAACAGTCAGAGAGGAGGAGAAAAAGGAAGACGATGACGACGCCAAGGATTGATTTGATATTGGATATATGAAAATTGAATTCCAGATCGCCCAAATACGGTTCATTCTCTCAGAAAGAAGTGAAAGACATTACCATATCTTACCTAGTCTGCTGAAAAATCTAGAAAAAGCTTCGATCAGCTCCAGAAATGGAAAGACTGAAATCCCACCAAAGCGCACCCAAAACCCAGAAAAGGGAGGTTTCGCATAAATTTTACAACACTCCAGATTCTTCTTATTCCTTTCTCTCTCCCCTTTTATTAAGTTGTCAAAAGAGAACAAAAGAAGAGCAACAAGTTGAGGAAAAAAAGGAAGGCCAAAATCTTATCTCATCTCATCTCTTTTCTTTTCCTGTTTTGGTAAATTCCACAACAAACACAGTTACAGGAGGGAAAAAAAAGGGGTGAGAGTCGGGAAATTTAGGAGAGAGACTAAACGAAAACGAAGGAAACAAGCAAAGGGAAAGAATAGAAGAGGGAGAGAGAGAGACTGAGAGAGAGAGAGAGAAGACTTTTGTTTGCTCTAGCAAAAGCTCAGATGATCGCAAGTAAAAAATAATTTGTCCGTACGAGGGTTAGAAACACGTCAATATCCTTCGTACAATTACGTACGCACATTTCGAATTAAATGTTGACACGTATCGTCAGTATTGATCACGATTCTCGCCTTGTCAAATGGAGACAGACCGCTTCACGTGGCTCCCCCTTGTGCGTCGCGTCCGACCCAACTTTATTTGTTGGACGTTATTTAATTAATTAATCCGTTGGTGGCGGCCCTGGCGGGAAAGTCAGGCCACTTATTTACGAAGATCATTGTTTTTACTGTTCACAGCTCAGCTTCTCTCTCTCTCTCTCTCTCTCTCACCCCACATTTCAGTGTGGACTGTGGACCTCCTCTGCTCTCCTCTCCCCTCCTCTCTTCATTGTGTTTTTCTTTTTGCCATTTATGTGCTTGGCGTAGGTTTCTCGCTTTCCCATTTTTTTTTCTTTTTATTTTAGGGGTTTTAACCGTTCAATCCACTCTAAAAATCTAAATCTCCACTTTAAGGATGGATTGCATCTTGACCGTAGATTAATATTAAATCTACGGGCGGATGCGGTTTTATAGGGGGTTACTAATAGTAATAGACTAAGAGGAAACTGCAATTCAGATTTGTGAGGGGGATTTATTTCCTTGGAGCTTCGAGGATGCAAGGAGAATAAGAAGATGACAATGACGTGGGGGCCAGCGTCTACGGCGTGGTGCACTGGTGCGAGGAGAGAACTGACCCTCCCCAGCTCCCCTTCCTAGTTCCTCCACGTTCCACCTAACAACACCTCCTTCCGCTCCAGACTACAGAGTATTTGTGGGACCGCCGGATTAATATCGATGATTGATCCAGTGGTCTACAATGAATCTTGTATTGTCCCATTGTCGTATCATGACTCACGACGAAAACAAAACGTACTAGGTACTATTCCCTCTCTCTCTGTATCAATCTTCCTTTCATACATATCTCGTTTTTTTCCTCTATCTTACGTCATACCCAAGAAGTTGGGTGTCGTCAGTTTTGCATGAAACGAGAGGTGTGAGCCTACTCAGATTCCTGTTCTAGAATCCAGACGAACTACTACGGTGGGAGTTGTATATACGGTGGGGAGTTGGCTGTATCATCCCTCATCAGTCATCATGTGTATATGTCCAAGTGGCCTGGGGTGGCCCACTACCTAAATTTCAATCATTTGGTGACAGATCAACTCCATCTTGGCAGGAGTTCAGATCTTATTATCTGATCGGTCGGAGAAAATAAAAGCCTGGCTGCCTGAGCATGGATCAATGAGGACAAGACAACACAGCAGCTGGCCAACTAGTCTACATTGCAACATGGTTAACAAGTACCTATACATATTGATGAGTAGAGAGAGAGAACTGCTAATCCCAGTCTTCCTGACTAGGCTTTTGATTGCTTTCTCTTATACGCCTCTGCACGGAGGTGATCAAATTACCAAACCACCCCGCGGAAAAGACATGAACATAAAAACACCCTTAATACGGAAGTCAGGATCCAAAATGGCTGAATTTGAATAACTTATTACCTTGTCTCTCACTTTAGTGAACAATTTACTGAAATTTGGGATGATCACCATATTCTCCACTTTTTTTATCTATTAGAATACAAAGCAAGAAGTAATTCGGTTCAGCTACTTCACCTCTTATCATGCGTATCTAATCCGGGCATGATAAATGATGATTTATTAGAATTACTTGTCAAATTTTCCATTTAATTCAATGAATTGGTAAATGGAAGATGTTTATTTAATAAGAGGACTACCCCACGTAGCAGGTTAAAAGCTTTTCAATAGTGAAAACAAGAATCAATTCAATTTTTTTTTTTTTTAAAAAAAAGGGTTTGTAGAGATAAAAGGCAACTTTTTGCCCTCAATATCAATAAAAAATAATATTTTTATATAATAATTAAAATGAGATTTTTTTTTTTTGAAAAAATATCAAGAAAGGGCAATGGATTGTGGGTTGTGGGTTGTGGCCTGTGGAACCCGTTGTCTACATATGCATAATGCATCCGTCGGTGGATTGTGGGTTGTGTCTCAAAAGTGATTTAGAAATTCAGATTGTGTCAGTTCGATTTAGACCATTATGGGTTGTGGATTCATTGGGTGGACTCTTTTTGAGAGCGATGTCTCATCTAGTCATCTTGATCACCAAATCAAAAAGGGAAAAAAAAATTGCAAATACGATCCAAAAGCAAAAACAATTAAAAAAGTGTAGAGGAAGACGATCACAGTGTCCACTGCCCTTTCCTATTTTAGTTATTATATAAAAATATTATTTTTTATTGATAATAAGGGCAAAAGGTTGCCCTTATTTGCTAGAAACCCTTAAAAAACATCATTTTGATGGCTCTAGAAACATGAATTGTTTTTGTCAAACAAATTAGGTTTATATGAGCTCCGGACTCCTATTCACAAATTCTTCCTATATCCCTACCCACAAGACACTATCGCCATGTATTGCACACATGCAAATCTATAGGCTGCGTTTGGAAGCGATGTAAATGTCAGACCGGCGTATTATTACACTTCGGTCCAAGTTTACAGTTGTTTGGATGGAATGTAAAACTCCAACGAAGATTAGTGTAAAACGTCCCTTTTGAAAGACTTTTTAATTGGTGTGAAAAATACATCAAAAAAATTGATGTACTTCGTTTCTCCATCGAAGTAAAAGTACTCCCACTTGTAACTCCTCTCTCTTCTCCATCTTCTTCCTACTCCGTCTCAACCTCGTGGTGGTGTCTCTTCGCTACTGCCGCTACTTCTCCGTCCGACCATCTAAAGCCATATCTATAACGTGCCGATCAAACAAAATACTGCTCGAATAGTGATGGACTCAAGGTTTTGTAGCAAGGCTTCAATTCTAGAGGAGATTTGGAGGCCTTTTTACAGGAGGGAGCAAGGTCGTCTTCGAAGCCTTTTGCGGATTTTGAATTGGGCAACATTCCTCAAGCACACAGAGACTACTAGATTATGATTGGGGGTTTCGGTTTTGGGATTTTTAGGGAGATCTTATAAAGCTTTTCCTCAACTCTGCCATGAGAAAGCAAGCCGACCCAAATACATAAAAAATAAAAAAAAAGATAGATGATTAGATATAGAAATCAAAATGTTGTTGAGTAGCAGCACCGACGAAGGTGGTTGATATTTGTCTTGTGCAATGACAACGATGATCAAATTGATGGTTCGATCAGGGTTTGGCTTGGGTGTTATTGTGCGATATCGCCACAAACAAGCTGTTAAAACCTCAAATGTGGAACTGGTGTTAATGAGATGTGGAGGTAGGTGCTTGCATAGGGCTGATATTTCTCTTGGGCTGAAAAGTAATGATCATTAAACCATTTCTTCATCATCAACTAGAAGGGAGATGAGCACCTAGCTTGCATCATTTCCTTCCTATACCCAAAATGTAGGCACGACACTCCTAGCAGAACACAAGCAAATAGTAGTTCCCTTTGCCACATGGGTTGCACAAATAAGGACTCTGAACTTCGTGCCATCTCGCCAATAGCCTTCAAGCTTTGTACTTATGAAGGAAAGTCCTCCAAAAGGTAACTCCACAAGACTGGCAGTTACTAATTGAGGCTCTCAATCTAGAATAACAACTGAGAATAAAGGATATTTAGTAGCTACCAATGACAGATCTCAATCCAAAATAGCAACTAAGAATAAAAGATATTTAGTAGCTACCAATGACAGATCTTCTTCAATTACCAATAAAGGCTCTCACACAGATTTGGCAACCACTTAATTAGAAAGAATTAATCAGCAGAAATTAATTAGAAAATCATTGTACTAGGCTCCTATTCTTAGTTTCTTTATTTATTCTTTCATCATTCTGTATATATATATTGTATCTATCTCAGCCTAGTCAGCAGGTCAAAATAATACAACCATTGTTTTATTTTTTTACTCTCTCTCCTACATCTTTATCTTGGTATCAGAGCCTATGGCATCTCACAGAGCTGATTCGTTTGAAGCTATGAGCTCCAACTCTTCTGGTCTTCAGAATATGACTACTACAGTAGCCATGAATTCTATTCCTAACATTTCTCTGTATCTCACCATCAAGCTGAATGGAGAAAATTTTCTTCTATGGAGAGCTCAACTTCTGCCAGTTCTCAGGGCCTACAAACTAATGGGCTTTGTAAGTACATATAGCTTACTTAGACCCTCAAAGAATACTCAGACACTAAGAACACCACCACAGAGATACTTGCAAAGAATCAACAACCAACCCCGAGTTGCGATTAACTTACATTCTGACCACAATCGCTATGATAAACCCGTAGCATACTAAACGAACCTCAAAATGATTCACCCACAAAAACATGAGCATGGCCGACTATACAATGAGGTCACACCCACAACGGATCGGGAGGACAACGAACCAAACCCGCAACGAGACCCAAGCGTGTACTCAAACACAAGGAACCGATACAAAGAAATGCCTCGCGAATCGTCACGTGACGCCAATGAACATCGGCTTTCGAACGGTGACGTTAGTATCCCCACGTAGGATTAGTGATGATGCACAGAAAAGGCAGTAGCCCTCATGAGTAATGAAGATCTTGAAGATAAGGAAAGCTGATCCCCGAGGATATCTTCATGAAACACATGGCGATGCCTAGTAGCGTATCCAATAATTGCCAGCAAGCAGTATATTTCATTTCCCGATATAGAGCGAATATCCTCGTCTCCTACCTTTTGGGGTCCCAGCGCTCCCTCCATAAATACGAGGGTCCTCTTCATACTTAGGAGACAGAGAAATCATAAGCAACTCACTATAGGCATCTTCAAACACACACAGAACTCTCTCATTCCCCTTCAAGCCCACTTCTCCCTCATAAACCTTCCTTCATCCTTCGAAGAGAGAAACCGCTCTCCCCTACTCCTTACAGGCTTAATTGATGGTTCAGCCAAGGAACCACTAGAGAA